TAAAATACAATAATGAATATATATATAATTACTAATACTACTATATAATATACTATGCTAAAATTTACTTTGTAACAATAGACTTTTCCATCTGTCTATTTACATTATTATTTTCTAAGAATGGTCTACAAATAGTAGAGGACATCATAATCTTAGAAGTGGTAGCTGCATTAATGTATTCTACAGAAGAATTTATTGAAAAGGAGTTTCTGTAAGAAAGAGTAAATCTTCCAGAATTGATGGTTCATGAAAATTTAAGTTAAATTTATTTTGTAGAATTTTTTTAGCCTCTGAATATGCTTTTTCTTGAAAGTGTTTAACAATTTCTGAAAAATTCATAGAGAGATTGTTAGTATCAAAGTAGATTATAATATAGGCTAAGTAATTTGTATTAATAATTTTGGTTATAAGAAAGTCAATTGCTTGTTGCTAGTTGAGTTTATTAATATTTTAATTTTGTGTAGCAATATTTTGATAAATTTTTAAATATTGGTAGAAGTAATAGCTTCTTCATTTAGAGTTTGTTTTAGTTTGGTTGTTGGTATAAATAAATTCTTTAGCTTTGGTTGCAAGGTTATTGAGGAGTTAGATAGATATTTTTTCTTTAAAGGTAGCTTCATGTTTAGCATTGATATAAAAAATTGAGACATCAATGTTAGGTTGTTTCCAAATTTCACTTTCTGTTTTTGAAAATTTTAAGTAGGATTTATTTAAAATCTCTTTACAGAGGTTGCTATAGTTGTGTATATATGGATAGTCAAGTTGGTTGTTTTTGGATATAGCTTTCTTTGCTTTTTCTTTTTCTTTAAGCTTTGTTTTGTCAAGATGTATACAGTCAAAGTCAGTACAAGTGTAGATATGATAATTAGTATATTGAATAGCCTCATTATGTCATTGTTAAAGGTTATGAGGTATATTAAAGAAAATTTTAGTAGGAAGAAGTTTTTTAAGATGTTTAATAAACTGTTGTCAAAATTAAAACCTTAGTGCATTTTTGACTTTAGTTTTATTAAGAGGTTTAGTAAATTGTTGATTATATAAAGAAAAAATTTTTTGAACCATTTATCAAAATGATCAACAGAGTTGTTAAGTAATGAAATGTTATACTTTTCTAAAAAAAGAGTTTTAGGAATATTAAAAAGAAGGTGAATATTAAATCTGTTATTCATTTTGATATTCAGATATTGGTCTTCTTTGTCAGTTGCTATTACTGATAAGCTAATAGTAAACCTTTTAGGTCTAAGCTTAATATAACAACCCTAGCATTCCTCCAAAAAAAATATAGCTGCACATTTGGTAACACAAATGAAAATCATTAACTTGATAGTTACACAATTTATAATTTATGATTATTTATTTTTATAATAAAAATAGAACCTTATATATTTGTTCATATTTTTTGTTCTAAATAATAGTTTTTTTTGTTCTAGATAGTGATGGGAAAAATGTGCATTTTATAATAACATGTGCATGAATGTGCATTAATGCACACATAATGTTTTATGCACATAATATCGCATGATAAAAAAATGCAAAAAAAAGAAAAAATGATTGAGAGAAGAGAAATCTTGATGGGATAAAATGCGCATAAAACAGAATCATGCGTATAAATGCACATTAATGCGCATGATTCCACAATCATGCATATGCATGAAACCCATCTCTAGTTCTAGAATATTTTTTCTGATTAAATCATATTTCAACATAAGAGAAAAAACTTAATTTTTTTGTTTAGATTTGAACAAATTTAATAAAATTTCTATAGTTTATTTGAATATTATAAAAAAAAAACCTAATTTATAATTTTAGTTTTTTTTTAATCCTAATACAATGTATTATGATTAAAATCTTTTGATGTTCTTGGCATTGTGTGCTGATTTTCAAGAGTCTCAATATCAGTATCATTTTTTCAAGTAGTTTGAAGTTTGAATAAATATTTTGTAACTACAAATAACCTTTGGATTTTTCATGTGATTGCTTAAGCAGATTTTTAGTCTAGAATTATAGAAATTATTTATCATATCTAAATAATAAATTACTTAGATAAATCAATTTACTTTATATTGAAAAAAATTTTAATTTAACTTATTTAATATGTTGTTTAAATGTTCTAGATTTTGAATGTAAATTTCTTGATCTTTATCATATTTTAGTACATATTTATTATTATTATCATCCTCAATTGCATATTGATCTTCATATTCAATAAGTGACTTTTTAATTGTTAAAATATCCAAATCTTTAGAATTGCGAAAATGAAATAAATTTTTAAATTTGCCTTTATATGTAGAGATTATAGGATATTTTACATTTCGTTGAACCTACAAAATTTTAAATAATTAAATAAGTAAAATAATTTATTATAAAATCATACATAAATATATTATACCCATTTAAAAAAATCTATATCCATTTTACTAACAGAATTAACCAAATGTTTATATAAGAAAAACCAGCTTTTTATATATACTAAACATATACATGTTTATTGATTCAAGTTTGTAGAATATAATTCCTTAAATTTTGGAGGTTTTTTTTCAAGTTTTCTCCACTCACACTTAAATTCTTTTCTCTATGGTACAATATAATGACCCTGTTGTAATAAACAAATTTGATGCAATTGTTGATTAACAACTCTTGTTACCAAAATATAACACAAAAGGTCAATTTGTAGATTGTGAAATTTATAAAGATAATCATGTTTAAGATGTCACCAGTGCGACTCTATAATTATTGTCATTTTAATATGACTAATTTCATTATCAGCAGCTCGTGCCCACAAGATCCATCTTTTTTAATAATACCATTGATTCCAAAGATATATCCAAAGATCAATTAAATTGTGTTCTTTACAGAAAGAAACTATTTCTTTAACACACTCTTCCTATATAGCTTGCGAACTCATATAATATTCACCATTAGACTTTAGTAATAATATATATCGATTATAATGAATTTTAACAAGATCAATAACCTGTTGCCTAAGGTTTAATAAACAAAAAACAAACATTACATGATTATTAGGCTTTTTCCAGTAAGGATCAACAGTGGAACATTCTTGATATGCAACAATTGGATCATATGAACAGTCTAAAATTGATTAGTTTGATGCTACTCTTTGCTTTATTGCTCATAAAACATGCCAAGAACATAACTGTAATCGCACATTTGGCCACACCTTCTGAGTTGCATTTATTTCACTAAAGTCTTTATCCATTAAGATAAAAGGGAAATTAACCAATTGTCTATTTTTTAATTCATTCATTCATTGAGTTAAGATTGTTGTAATATCATAACTTTTTTTGTAGCAATTAACAGGTAACTTATTGGAAAACCAGTTCCATCGATCACACCCATAATTGCATATAATTTCCAACTTATTTTGTTTGTTCTGTATATTGCATCAATTTGAATTGCATCAAAGTTATTACATGGAAGCTGATAAAAAAGCATAGTAAGAAATCCAAGAGCTGGTATAGAAGTAGTTATATCGATAATAATTTTCTAATTAAGTTCAGTTAATAAAAGTTTTGTTGATATAAAAGGATCAGAATTGTGATAATACATTTTTTGTGATTCTTTAGACTACCAAAAATATGTTTGCTAACTATAAGATTTTCATATTCTTTAAGTTGTTTTTCTATAATCTGTCAATGTAATTCTGGAACTAAATAATTAATATTACTTTTAATAAATTCTCGAATTTCTGGTGTTGTTTCTAGATGAATTGGACATAGATGTAATATTAAATGAGAGTATTCAACATTGATTAAGTTTAAAGAAACTAAAATTTCAATTTTAATAACTCCTTCACAATTATATTGCTCAATCCATATAGGTGTATCTCTATAAACCTCTGGATTAGGATGTTTTACTTGATGCTTTGCACAATCAATACAGCAATTACAATGATAAGTAACCATTAATAAAATTTTTTTTTGATTTTTGTCTTTATAAATCCACCTATAATTATATCCTTCTTTAATTGATTTTACTACATAGCGGGCAACTTCAAGATAATGTTTTTTATTATCAAAGTTTTCTTTATTATTTTCATCTAATATAATACTAATAAAAGAGGAGAGCTCAACATCAAAGCTAATAACTAATTCAACATTATCATCTTTATAAAATTTGTTGGTATTTTCCAGAGAAATCAATGAGTTATAAACAAACTCCATGATATTTGAGTATGTAATTATGGCTTTTTGCCTTTGGTTTTTATTTTTGTTAAGTCAAGTGATTTTTCTTTTGTTTCTGCAAGACTGACACCAGGTTAAATCTTTGTTGTTTTTAAGAAATTCTTTGATCTCTTTAAACTCATGACAATATTTACATTCTTTATTAGATAAAGAGTCGATGCTTAAACTAGTCATGATCAAACTGTTGCAAAAAAATTACTAATGCAAGTCAAAAAAATTTTTTTAAACAAAAAAAACAAATCAAATACTTATTATATTTTGAACTATCTGAGATTCAAAAGCTGATCACATTACATCATATGTAACAAGTTATCACAATTGTAATAGTTATTCTTGGTGTTATTCTTGCAACTATTAAACGATAATAATAGTTATCCCTTAAACCATATTCCAGGCAAATTTGCCTGAAAAATTAAATTGTATTTAGTATTTTTTAAATAAAACAATAATTTATTAATGATA